TTGTGTAAATATACATGAGCTGCAGAGCAGAGCTGAGCTGTCCGTGTTTCGAAGAGGTCGTGCTCTCACGAACCCGGGCCTGTGGTGTAGGCCACTGGCTGGAAGCGCTCTCGCCGTGCCCGGGCTCCGGAGAGCTGGCAACCTCTCCGGCTTGAGCGTGTGCGGCTTCATAAAAACCGCCTCCTTCTTTAACGTTCCAAGCCTCTGCGGGTGTGTCAGGCCACAGCCCGGGCTGGTTGCCACCGCGCTGTGGCTCAGCGGGCGCCTGAGTGCAAACTTTCGCTCGACAAGATATGGAGTAGGTTCACGGTTCATCAGGTAACGAACCTAATCTGTGAGCTATGTGAAGCATGGCAAATAGCAGGGGATTATCTGGCATATGACGTGTTTGAAGTTGGCATGGAGAGATTCCTGCAGCAGGCCCCTGCGGAACTGGACAACTGCCTGTCACAAGACTCAAATTCCACAAATCGATCGTGTAGGCAACTGTCTGTGTATGCGAGAGGGTCGACATTCCGTAGCTGCACCATAATTTCCATGCACGTGTGCACAAGCAATCCCACAACGTGCGAATCAACGCCTGAATGAGTCAATGCCGAAATGCGTTGGGGGAAGGACTGTTCATGCACACCCTCAGCGGACCTCTGCAGGCGAAAGGGCCTGCCCGGAAGGGCTTTGGCCTTGCTCGGGCGGCGCAGTCGCGACCTGCCAGAATGCAGTCTGCTGCACTGCACGAACATGTCAGGAACCACGTCGGTCAAAGTCTGAAACCTCTGGAATCACATGTGAAGGACGAAGTGTGTATCCGCTTCATGGTCCAAGATCCACGTGAATACATTCGGAAACCTGTCTTGCACAACAGTATGACATCTCAATGAAGCAGGCTTGTCTAACACATGTTGCAAGATTGATCGCCTATCACATCAGAGAGTATGTGGCTGCGCCAGCACGACTGATGGAAGGATGTCGGAGACCCATTGTGCGCCTGTAACTGCCCGGGAGCACCGTGGCTGCTGAAGCTGGGCTCAGCAGCGGCGGGAACCTTCCCGGATGGAGCGCATGCTTCCGCAACTTCCACGTGCAGCATTCCAACCCCTTTCTGGCCTCTTTGGGTGTCGCGGGCCACTGCCCAGACTGGCTGCCGCTGCGCGGTGGCTCAGCAGGCACCTGGTGCACAGTATGGGCCCAAGTAAGCGCAGCGGGCCAGCCACCACAACTGCTTGTCACAGCTGCCTCAAAAACTCCCGCAAATCGAAACTCGCAAGACTGATCCCTCGAACTCCACCGACCCCATCTGAAACACTACGCGAGAAAGGCGACTGTCTCTATGTGCGAGAGTGCGTTGGAGGGACCAGACACTCGGTAAACTCTCCTCATGTTGCATGAATGAGCCAGTGGTCAATCGCACTGCATGCGACAAAGAGACCCCATTGTGGACATGTGGAGGAACGACTGTTCTTGCACACCCTCAGCGGACCTCTGCAGGCGAAAGTGCCTGCCCGGAAGGGCTTTGGCTTTGCTCCGGCGGCACAGCCGTGACCTGCCCAAAATGCAGTGCTACCGAATATAGCTAGAGTTGTAAGAATTTTTGGCCTCTAGACCTTGGATTTCATCAAATAAGTGTTTTGTCGTTTATTTGTCATTCATTTGTCATTCGGTGGTTTCGCGGTTTGTCATTTATTTGTCATTTGTTTGCCGTTGCTGTCAGTCGGTGGTTTTGCAGGTTGTCACTATTGTGTCATTTGTTTGTCATGTGCTTTTTGCTTTTGGCTTTCTTTACGATGCTATGGATTGGAGACGGGCAAACAATCCCAGAATGACAAAAAATGACAAAGGGTTTGGGGCAGGACACCCAGAATGACAAAAAAATGACAAGGGGCTTGGGGGATGACAAAAAATACAAAAACATGACTGGAAAATGACGAAAATGATTCCAAAATGACTCCAAAAAGACTTGAAGAACATGACTAAAAAATGACAATGCCTCGAGGATTGTGCCAATTCCGCTCCCTCCCAAAACCATAATGACCAAAAATTGACAAACCAAATGACAAAAAAAGAACGACAAGGACAAGTGACACAAAAATGACAATTAAATGACAAAAATAATTCTGGACCCCACCCCACTCCTTGCTGCAAAAATTCTTACAAAGCTAGAGTAGACATGCATGAAAGTACTTATTCGCATCTGTGCTGATCCATGCCGGTGCTGCACTGCACGAACATGTCAGGAACATTCAGGAACCACATCAGTCAATCTCTGGAACTTTGGCATCACAAGTGCATTATGAAGTGTGTGTCTGCTTCATGGCTGTCAATGAATACTGAAACCTGTCCTGCACAACAGTATGACATCTCAATGAAGCAGGTTTGTCTGGCCAAGCTGTGCTGCAAGCTCACATCAAGATTGCTCGCCTATCACATCAGAGAATGTGTAGCTAGCACGAGTGATGGCAGTATGTCGGAGACCCTTTCTGCACCTGTGCAGGTGCAGGCCACTGCCCGGGGGGACCCTGGCTGCTGAAGCTGGGCTCAACCTTCCCCGATGGTGCGCATGCTTCCGCAACTTGCACGTGAAGCATTCCAAGCCCCTTTTCCGGCCTCTGTGGGAGTCGCGGGCCACTGCCCAGACTGGCTGAGACTGCGCCGTGGCTCAGCAGGCACCTGGTGTACAGTACTACGGGGCTCAAGTGAGCGCAGCGGGCCAGCCACCACAACTGCTTGTCACAGCTGCGTCGAAAACTCCCGCAGATCGAAACTCGCAAGAACGATCCCTCGAACTCCACCGACCCCATCTGAAACACTATGTGAGGAAGGTGACTGTCGCTGGCACACCCTCAGCGGACCTCTGCAGGCCAAAGGGCCTGCCCGGAAGGGCTTTGGCTTTGCTCCGGCCGCACAGCCGCGACCTGCCGGAATGCAGTGCTACCAAACACAGTACACATGAAGGTAATTATTTAGCATCTGTGCTGACCATATCCTCTCCGGCACTGCGCGAACATATCAGGAACCACATCGGTCAAACTCCGGAGTCACAAGTGCACCACGAAGATTCGGAAACCTGGCCTTGACAACACTATGACGTCGCAATGGAGCAGGTTGGTCTAGCATATGCTGAGCTGCAAACTCGCATCAAGATTGCTCGCCTATCACATCAAGGACTATGTGGCTGCGCTAGCACGACTGATGGACGGATGTCGGAGACCCTTTGCGCGCCTGCACAGGCGCAGGCCACTGCCCGGGAAGACCCTGGCTGCTGAAGCTGGGCTCAGCAGCGGCGGGAACCTTCCCCGATGGAGCGCATGCAGCTGCTTCAGGGAACGATGTCCGCAACTTCCAGCCATGTGCAGCATTCCAAGCCCCTTTTCCGGCCTCTGTGGGAGTCGCGGGCCACTGCCCAGACTGGCTGAGACTGCGCCGTGGCTCAGCAGGCACCTGGTGTACAGACTACGGGGCTCAAGTGAGCGCAGCGGGCCAACCACCACAACTGCTTGTCACAGCTGCGTCGAAAACTCCCGCAAATCGAAACTCGCAAGACTGATCCCTGGAACTCCACCGACCCCATCTGAAACACTCCGCGAGGAAGGCGACTGTCTCCATGTGCGAGAGTGCGTTGGAGGCACCAGACACTCAGTAAATGCTCCTCATGTTGCATGAATGAGCCAGTATGAACCAATTGTCAATCGCATTGCATGCGACAAAGAGACCCCATGCGGACACGTGGAGGAACGACTGTTCTTGACTGTTCTGGCACACCCTCAGCGGACCTCTGCAGGCGAAAGGGCCTGCCCGGACGGGCTTTGGCTTTGCTCCGGCGGCACAGGCGCGACCTGCCGGAACGCAGTGCTACCAAACACCGTACACGTGAAGGTAATTATTTAGCATCTGTGCTGACCATATCCTCTCCGGCACTGCGCGAACATATCAGGAACGGAGTCACAAGTGCACCATGAAGATTCGGAAACCTGGCCTTGACAACACTATGACGTCGCAATGAAGCAGGTTGGTCTAGCATATGCTGAGCTGCAAACTCGCATCAAGATTGCTCGCCTATCACATCAAGGACTATGTGGCTGCGCTAGCACGACTGATGGAAGGATGTCGGAGACCCTTTGCGCGCCTGCACAGGTGCAGGCCACTGCCCGGGAAGACCCTGGCTGCTGAAGCTGGGCTCAGCAGCGGCGGGAACCTTCCCCGATGGAGCGCATGCAGCTGCTTCCGCAACTTCCAGCCATGTGCAGCATTCCAAGCCCCTTTTCCGGCCTCTGTGGGAGTCGCGGGCCACTGCCCAGACTGGCTGAGACTGCGCCGTGGCTCAGCAGGCACCTGGTGTACAGTACTACGGGGCTCAAGTGAGCGCAGCGGGCCAACCACCACAACTGCTTGTCACAGCTGCGTCGAAAACTCCCGCAAATCGAAACTCGCAAGAACGATCCCTCGAACTCCACCGACCCCATCTGAAACACTCCGCGAGGAAGGCGACTGTCTCTATTTGCGAGAGTGCGTTGGAGGCACCAGACACTCAGTAAATGCTCCTCATGTTGCATGAATGAGCCAGTATGAGCCAACTGTCAATCGCACTGCATGCGACAAAGAGACCCCATGCGGACACGTGGAGGAACGACTGTTCTGGCACACCCTCAGCGGACCTCTGCAGGCGAAAGGGCCTGCCCGGACGGGCTTTGGCTTTGCTCCGGCGGCACAGCCGCGACCTGCCGGAATGCAGTGCTACCAAACACAGTACACGTGAGGGTAATCGTTTGCATCTGTGCTGACCATATCCTCTCCGGCACTGCGCGAACATATCAGGAACGGAGTCACAAGTGCACCATGAAGATTCGGAAGCCTGTCCTAGACAACAGTATAATAACATCGCAATGAAGCAGGTTGGTCTATTACTGAGCTGCAAACTCGCATCAAGATTGCTCGCCTTTAACATCAAGGAATACGTGACTGCGCTAGCACGACTGATGACAGGATGTCGGAGACCCTTTGTGCGCCTGTGCAGGCGCAGGCCACTGCCCGGGAAGACCCTGGCTGCTGAAGCTGGGCTCAGCAGCGGCGGGAACCTTCCCCGATGGAGCGCGTGCAGCTGCTTCAGGGAACGATGTCCGCAACTTCCAGCCACGTGCAGCATTCCAAGCCCCTTTTCCGGCCTCTGTGGGTGTCGCGGGCCACTGCCCAGACTGGCTGAGACTGCCCCGTGGCTCAGCAGGCACCTGGTGTAGAGTATGGGCCCAAGTAAGCGCAGCGGGCCAACAGCACAACTGCTTGTCACAGCTGCGTCGAAAACTCCCGCAAATCGAAACTCGCAAGACTGATCCCTGGAACTCCACCGACCCCATCTGAAACACTCCGCGAGGAAGGCGACTGTCTCTATGTGCGAGAGTGCGTTGGAGGCACCAGACACTCAGTAAATGCTCCTCATGTTGCATGAATGAGCCAGTATGAGCCAACTGTCAATCGCACTGCATGCGACAAAGAGACCCCATGCGGACACGTGGAGGAACGATTGTTCTGGCACGCCCTCAGCGGACCTCTGCAGGCGAAAGGGCCTGCCCGGACGGGCTTTGGCTTTGCTCCGGCGGCACAGCCGCGACCTGCCGGAATGCAGTGCTACCAAACACAGTACACATGAAGGTAATTATTTAGCATCTGTGCTGACCATATCCTCTGCGGCACTGCGCGAACATATAAGGAACCACATCGGTCAAACTCCGGAGTCACAAGTGCACCACGAAGATTCGGAAACCTGTCCTTGACAACAATATGACATCGCAATGAAGCAGGTTGGTCTATGCTGAGCTGCAAACTCGCATCAAGATTGCTCGCCTTTAACATCAAGGACTATGTGACTGCGCTAGCACGACTGATGACAGGATGTCGGAGACCCTTTGCGCGCCTGTGCAGGCGCAGGCCACTGCCCGGGAAGACCCTGGCTGCTGAAGCTGGGCTCAGCAGCGGCGGGAACCTTCCCCGATGGAGCGCATGCTTTCGCAACTTCCAGCCATGTGCAGCATTCCAAGCCCCTCTTCCGGCCTCTGTGGGAGTCGCGGGCCACTGCCCAGACTGGCTGCCACTGCGCCGTGGCTCAGCAGGCACCTGGTGTACAGACTACGGGGCTCAAGTGAGCGCAGCGGGCCAACCACCACAACTGCTTGTCACAGCTGCGTCGAAAACTCCCGCAGAGCGAAACTCGCAAGAACGATCCCTCGAACTCCACCGACCCCATCTGAAACACTATGTGGGGAAGGTGACTGTCTCTTGCACACCCTCAGCGGACCTCTGCAGGCGAAAGGGCCTGCCCGGAAGGGCTTTGGCTTTGCTCCGGCGGCACAGCCGCGACCTGCCGGAATGCGGTGCTACCAAACACAGTACACGTGAAGGTAATCATTTGCATCTGTGCTGACCATATCCTCTGCGGCACTGTGCGAACATATCAGGAATCACATCGGTCAAACTCTGGAGTCACAAGTGCACCAAGATTGCTCGCCTATCACATCAAGGACAAGGATTATGTGGCTGCGCTAGCTCGACTGATGGAAGGATGTCGGAGACCATTTGCGCGCCTGTGCAGGCGCAGGCCACTGCCCGGGAAGACCCTGGCTGCTGAAGCTGGGCTCAGCAGCGGCGGGAACCTTCCCCGATGGAGCGCATGCAGCTGCTTCAGGGAACGATGTCCGCAACTTCCAGCCATGTGCAGCATTCCAAGCCCCTTTTCCGGCCTTTGTGGGAGTCGCAGGCCACTGCCCAGACTGGCTGAGACTGCGCTGTGGCTCAGCAGGCACCTGTGGAAGGATAACTAACATGTACCTACACGGGCCCAGGTGGGTGTTTGCAAACAAAACTGTAACAATCACTCTTGCAACTGCAACACAGGTGACTGCCCGAAGTCATCGTCGTACACAACACAGGAGGCCTCAATAGCCAGGATGGGGGCGGGCAAATGGCTTAATATAGGGGCCTTCACAATTTTGTTTTGGAGCAAGAGCCTTTGACATAACTTTAGCTACTTTGGCTTTTCTATATTGCTCAATGCTCCGCGCCTGTCCATGTCCTGCAGGCCATTGTCCCACGGGGCTCTCTCCAGCCGGAACCTGCTAGAGTAGGGTTTATAAGGCCTAGGGTTTGGGGGTTCAGATGGTTTTTGGGGGGGTCTGACGGCAGCGATAATTACTAGGCGTTTCTTTCCCGTGTCAACCATGTCCTGATCTCGACAAGGGGCCATCCCTGCAATGCTCTGCCTGTTTCAACTACATCTGTGCTAACCGCTGCTAACCGCAACTATAGAAGCGCAGCCGTCCAAATGGAAAAAGTTTGTCGTAATTAGTTCCTGCAGCGCGGAAAAACTTCTACCAGTACCTATGATTTCAGATCTGGGGTGGCTTTATTGTCTTGGTGCGCAGCAGCATGTACGTAATCAGCACCGAAGCCGTGTCTGGCGTGTCTTGACTTGTCCCATGCTTCTCCTAATTACCCGCACAAGCGTGACTGCAAGTCGTATACTGCCTTCTTGAAAATGAAAGGCATGTCGTGTGACAATTCTGATTCCGATCCGGCATTCATGGCAGCAGCCGCAGTTTGGCCTGCGGCGAAGTAACAGGCCACTGCCGAGACTGGCTGCCACCGCCCTCGAGCACCACAGGCATCATCTAAAGCATGACATTCACGTGCAGTGGCAGCCTGCCGGGCTGTGCTCAATGCTACTACAGTTCCTGTCCAGGCACGTCTCCCCGCCTCTGCAGGCATCTCAGGCCACTGTCCGGCCGGGCTGTTGCCCTGCCGGGGCACAGAAGACGCCTGTTCGAAGTGCTTTCGCATCTCGCTCGTAGAAGCCCAAGTCTGAAATTGTCTGCAGGCCATATATCGCATGATCACTCGCAAGCATTTCTCGCTGTTACGGTGTTCCACACTTTCAAGTTTTTTCACAGCGCGCCTCTGAGTTTGGTGCTCAAATATGTGTGTATATAGGTCTAAGTAAAAATATAAATGCATACATATATATATATGCATACACGCAAGCAAACACACATACCAAACAGACACACAGCCATACAGGGATGCCATACATACACACATCCATCCATCAGTACATATATTAAAAATACATATGCGATAAGAGCAGATGTTCATCATAATCACACTCTTGATGGCTTCGATCGCGATCATGGCTACAAGCCAAAGAGGGTTGGGCATGGAGATGTGTTGTTGCTATATGGGGGCCGTAAGAGTTAGAACAGGGCTTGGGGTATAGAAAACATCATTACATGGGCAACAAGGGCAGATTGTTGCCGACTTAATTTTCGACCCCTGTTATTCCGAATTCCACGGTATGCACCTCATGACAAAGGAATGTTTGCGCCAGCACCAAGACGTCAGGGAACCTAGTGAGCCGAGTACAAAACACCCTCACCCTCCCCACAACACTTCAACGAGGCAGCCGACAATTTTTCCGCTTGAGGCAGCAGACCCGGAGAACAGCTCAATTCTGCAATCACCATATAAAAAAAAAAAACCTAAGCCTTAAACCGGTGAACCCCAAGCCTGAAACCTCATAAACCCGGAACCCTGAGCCGGTAAGGGCCCCCTTAGCCTTAAACATTACCCAGAGAACCCAGTACCCCTTTAATAAGGAATATGTACCTTAAATTATAAGGGCCGTACTATGATGATTTAAGGTATATTCCTTAATTGAGGGGTATTGGGTTCTCTGGGTATACACCCTCAACCCCGAACTGCAGCCCTCCCCCCTGCCGGGACCTCTGGAGGTGGCCACTGGCCGAGGCCAGTCTCAGGCGGAGAGGCCTGGCCCGGTCTCAGCAAGACAGTGATAATCATGTCCCCCCGTCTCGTCGCCTTACTATTACTGCGGTATCATATCTCCTTATAGAGTCCGCATTGATAGACTTAGGCTACAGTTGCTAATTTGGGTTGCTGTTGCTGTCCATGCTCAGTCTGCATCATGGCAACGTCGTCTGGTTCCCACGAGTCGTCGCGCGTGTCGGGCTGGAGGTCGGTTGTCTTGGCCGCGTTTCGCATCGGGGGTTCGGGGTCTTTGGTAGAAAGGTTTGTGGCTCCAGAGAGCCCAGTACCCCTTAACTAAGGAATACAGCTTCAATCACAATATGAAGCCCCTTATCATTTAAGGTATATTCCTTAATTAAGGGGTATTGAGCTCTCTGGGTTCTGGTGAATCCGCGTGTCTGGGTTGGGATCCCTTCAGCTGGGTTCGGGTTGGGTTCTGTCCCATGGCAGATTCAAGCATATATATATATATATATTTATTTATTTATATTTTTATTTATTTATTTATTATATTATACTATATATATATATATTTTGACCTTATAGTAGGGGGTCCATGCTGTATCATGTCGCGGCCAGCGGCCATTTTGGACTCACCATGCAGACATCTGTATACATCTGTCTGAATTGGACGAACAGGAGGATGAACACCATGTCCAGCATGCTCTCTCACGCCTTCGGCGAAGGATCTGCATGGGGAGAGTCTTACAAACTGTTCCAAAGGTCATAGAAATCAGGGTCAAGGCTGCGAAGATCAGTGCGGTCGCAGGGTTCCATCTCACAGAGTAAGGCTGCGCGTCGATAATAAAAGATGCGAAATTGCCCGGCGTTGCCCCAGAGTGGGCCTGACTTGTCGCAGGATTGAGACTCTCCAAGCAGGCGTTTGGCAAAATAGGCCCGAGAAACTGCCCACTTGACGCCCCGGAATGGCCAAACAATGTGGGGTACTCTCCCGGGAGAATCTAGCATCCCGTTGGTGTCTATCAAGAAACGCATCTCCGACCGGCTCAAGGTAGTTGCCCCTGCCAAAGCTTGAAACCTTTCGGGGATCTGGATCTCAGCGGAACCCGAGTAGCCGTTTTCCTGAAAGTCACCGCGATCAGTCATGTCCTGGCCGATACGAGCTCTTGAAAGCCCCTTTTCATTCTGGCAGGTTTCGCAACTCACGGCGCACTCCACCAAGCGGCAATGCCATCCCAAAGCCACCACTGCTTTGTAAAGGAGCCAATCCCTCCCCCTCAAATGATGAGGCCTCAGGACGCCTGAGCTGTCGAAACTGTACATGTTGTGGAATGGTATACCAAGCAAGACTTTGTCCCCCATTTCTGCTCGCAGGCGCTCCTTGAACTCACCGAGCCAAAGTTGCAGAATCTGGGCGGGGCCGCCCACTCAGTCACGCTGAAAGGAGCATGTGCAATGTGCAGCTGCAGCAGTAAACGCTGCCCCTGCCGCTTCTCAAAACCACCTTCTGCTGCACATGCCGCGGCAACGACAAGAAGCAGTTCTGTGTGGAACTCCCGGGGAAAGCCGTCTCGGAGTTCTCTGTCTGGGCTGGGCTCCCAAAAACGTTGAAAGTCGCCATGACGCGATGCCCTGCGGTGACCTCCTTCACACAGTGAAGCTCAGAGGAAAAAAAGCAACACCACGATCCTGATTCGGAGAGCCAGGTCCTGTCTCGCCCGATTTTCTCCAGCTCGCGCCACTGGGAAGCTCGCTTGGGAAAGCAAAGCTCTCCACCTTTGCAGTCGCCAGCCCCACAGTCCACCACGAGGGTCATGATGTGATCATCGCCAACCTTGCTATCTACATGGGGCTGGAAGAAATCGCCTGGCTCATACAACAAGACCTTGTATAACTTGGCAACCAAATCCACATCTGGGCAGAGCTCTGCACGGACTTTGGACAAGACAAGCTTAAGATCAGCCCATCGGACGTCCACATTTTGAGTCTCCATGCTTCGCCTGATCTTCTGGTCAACCACTGTCTCAGATCCCCGACCAAAAGGGGCTTGCTTGCACAAAGCCTTCAGTTCTGCAAGATCTTGAGGCAATGACAAGACCCCCATCGCTGTGCACAAACACGGGGTCTCTGCCACCCCACTGGCAAACAAAGGGTTCGGAAGAGCCTCCACAATGGATGCGAAATCATCAATGACACTACAAGTAGCAGGACTTCTCGGTGTTCCCGGACTTCCAGGACTTGACGGAACCGGACTCGAGCGAACCGGACTCGAGGAAACCGATCCGGAAGAAACCGACGATGATGCATCCATTTCCACAAAGCCGGTCCTACTGCGCGAAGCTTGTTTAGTCGTCCATTGAGCCGGATGGCTGCTTTAATCTTCTCTGTATGGCAGCTAAACTTGTCCTGTGCACAACCAAATGCCGAATTTCCCAAACCCCATTCTCCCTCCATGGTCCTCCGAGGGTGACGCAGGCCATTGTCCAGCAAGGCTGCCACTGAGCGCTGCCGGGGATGCCCCCTGTCGTTTCTGCCGAAGACAATTACTTATTGCCGCTATCTGGAAGACGACGATATCCGTGTGAAATTCAGAGGCTACAGCGTTGATATTGTTGCTGCCATTACTCTGTACAGTTTCATCATGTTCATCCTGCCTGACATGGGTTCGAAATCAGTCGAAGCGTGGAAAGGAAGGTCCCAGACCGAAGCCCCACTGCAGAAGCTGAAGGCTATGAATCAGCCCTGAACGTCCAACATCTACCAACACAGCAAAGTCAAAGATCTCGTGCCCATTCTCCACGATACCTACACAGGAAATCTCCATCTTGTACCTGTAAAGCCTCAAAGCAGATCCCGTCCCCTGATTCTTAAGCCTCAAGCCCATAACCCCTAAACCCTAGACCCTCCACCCTAAAACCCTAAACCCTAAACCCTAAACCCTAGACCCTCCTCCATAAAACCCTAAACCCTAAACCCCAGACCCGCCACCCTAAAACAAGCCTGAAAAGGTGATGCCGGCCGCTGTGCAGGGCCGCCGGCGTGTGTGGCACTCACTTCCTCGCCACTACAAACATTATATAGTACCAAAGGGTTTAGGGTTTAGGGTTAGTACCAATACTATTATACTAATAATAATGATGCTAACAATACTAGGATTAATACTAATACGAGTAATAATAGTAATCATCTTCATCATCATCATCATCATCATAATCATAATAATGATAATAGTGATACTAACAATACTAGTAGTAATACTAATACGAATACTGCAGACTGCCACATAACCAGGGAGGAGAGAGCTGGAATAAGAGAGAGGTTGCATGTCTGTGTGTATGCCCAATGCTCATGTGTCTGTATCTTGGTGAGCTTGAAAGAAACGAGCAAGATAGAGATTGGTGCGCAAATGTGAGCCGTGGAGCGTGCGGACACACATTTGCGTTTGTTTATAGGTCTATCTGTATACACATGCACACATCAACACATACATTAGATGACCCTCTACAATGTGTTTTGCAGTTCATGGGCCATGTTGGCGGGGTTGGGGGGTGGGGGCGTCCTCTTTAATGTTAGTTAATTTGGGACGGACGCTGTTTCTCGGGTCTGGGACTTGTGGTCAGTCAACTTCTTTCCAGGAGATGATGCTTTGGCCGAGGCACTGCAGGCAGTGCTACATATTACATATATATATATATACATATATACATAGATGTGTGTGTGTGTGTGTCGACAGACAAGCATGTATGTATATGTATATTTGTAGGTGTATATGTATGTCTGTCTCTGTGTGTGTGTGTACACAGAGCTATCTGCGAATTCCTCTAACTCTCTGCATAGATCTGTACAAACACTGTTGCGAACCGACCTGTCCGTCACTCTATACATCCAAGCGCATGCACGTACTTGGAAGCATGCATACATACGTACATACTTACATCGACAGACGGGGACATACATACATGCATGCATGCATGCATACATACATACATACATACCTCTACATACCTCTACATACCTATATACATACCTACATACAGACATACATACATACATACATACATACTTACTTACGTACTTACTTACTTACTTACTTACACTACATCACATTAAGTTACACTGCATTCCGTTGCATTACGTTGCATTACATTACATTGCATTACATTACATTACACTACATTACATTACATATACACGCGTATACATACATACGTACAGAAACAGATAGATACGTATGTACTTACAGATACATACATAGGTGCGTACATGCATACGTGCATACTTAAGCACATACTTACTTGCTTGCATACATACAAACATACGGACATGCGAACCCACAAGGGAATGCATGCATTATTATGTAAGTAGAACATACACACTTTGCTCTAAAACCATACAATTGTACGTGGGAATTCACTTGCTCATGTATAGGGCAAGCCATACACGTATCTGCTTAGCATGAATGCACACACATGCACAAAACGTGCTTCACACTTTTTCCTTTCAAGTTCTTGCACGTTTTGGGTCAGGGCTTTTCCGTGCTCAAGATTGGGGCACCCCCTAAGCTTTTCAAACCAGTCGATTCGGCCCCAGCCTGCATTGGTGAGCTTGTGGTTGGCGAACCGTTTGCGACCCCGGGGTGTGAGACCTTCGCAAGGGCAAACACTCCACCCAACCGCACATGGCGAACGATGAAGCTCGAAGCAGCAAGTTTGAACCTACATATAAAATTCCAAACCCTAAATAAACCCTGAAACCCAAAATCCTAACCCACCTTCAGCCGCAAATGCCGAGAGGAGTGCATTCCCTGGAGTTTTTAGAGTTCAGGGATAAGGGTTCTAGTGCTGGGGGCATAGGGCTTTACATGGAATGCCGCAGTCGGACGAGCAACACTTACGATGCCTGCCTTTGCGGGTATCCGTACTGTAGTGACTGTAGCGAGAGCTTGCAATGGATACTGGCACTGACAACGAAAGCCCCCTGTACACCAATATCGGGCCATCCACACATAAATCAAGTGGTTGTATGGGCACATATATATATATACAGAGAAGGAGAGAAAGAGAGATAACAAAAAGAGAGAGAGTGAGTGAGAGAGAGAGAGAGAGACAGAGAATAGCAGAACAGCCATGCGCAAACGAACGTGACGCACGGTCAGTGTGCTCCTGGCTTTGGAGTTTGGGGGTTTCAGACAATTGTGGAGCACTTCGAAGAATCGAAACTTGCCGCGGATCGAATCTGGGGCTCGACAAGGGCTTCAAGGGTCAGGGTTTAGGGTTTAGGGCCTATGGGAACCGGCAGAAGCAACAACAGTTCCTGCTGCTTTACCGCCCGTACATTCGTTGCTCTTTATATAAGGAGAAACCCATGAACAAACACGAAATGTGTATCTGTATACAGTATACATATAACAAGTTTCTAATCCTGTTGTAGGTTCATACACGCACTTTTTTATACAAGCTATGACACTCCAGGATTCTCCTCTTCGAGGCTAAATGCACAACCTGTAACCGTACATGCAAGCCCTGCGACCGAGTCAGACCGAGTTAGGCCACGACACAAGCACTCAGACACATACAGATTTGTTTCTACACATATATATATATATATGTACATACATACATCCATACATACCTACTTCCGTATATATCTATATATATAATATGTACATGTATATGTACACACACATGCATGGCATACATGTTCATTTACTTCTGTTCTTGTTTATACATATTTCGGTATACTATGCATGTCTGTTCCTAGTTCCTAACAACAACATGCTACACACAAGAACACTACCCCGAAGCATTGTGGGAAAATAGCTACCAAGGGTTCAATCCTTAACATAGGGGCCTGAGTAACTACAATAGGGTTTTGGGCCAAGGAAAAAGTGTTTGTTTTGGACTGTACCTACAGTCTCCATTGTCGTTCCAAGTTTGTCCAACCTATGACATATTTAGTGTTCTACAAGGTAACTAAAAACAGGAACAGCATGCAAGCTCTCGGACGTTGGATGGGTCACTCTTCAGCATGTTGGGTGTTGCGATGTAGACGCGGACTCCTACAAAAAGCTTTGCTCGATCACGCCAGACTTTGTAGCCAGACCAGGCATTTTGAGTGAACTGTTGCAACTTTCGGAGATGTACTGGCTACATCCTACCTAAACCCTAAACTCTAAATCCTAAACCCTAAACCCTACAAATCCTAAACCCTGAACCTCAAACCCTAAATCCTAAACTCTACTCCACGGAGCGTGGAATCTGCAGCGAAGCCCGGTAGCCCAAAACTCGAAGCTGTGGGAGCGAAAAAGATAAAATTTTGAACTCCACACCCAAAGGCCCGTAATCCTAGCTAGTATAGTAAAGTATAGTCTAGGGTTTAGGGTCTAGGGTTTAGGGTATAGTATAAAGGCGCCATCAGGGTTTGAGGTGAGTTTGGATGCCGGGGGTTCCGAGTTCAACGTGATCGAGATTCGTGCTGTCATGCAAACGCTCCTCAATGATCCCTAAACCCTAAACCCTAAACCCATATCATAACTAACCGACCGACAAACACCTGCACATTGCTGCCTCCTATCTCCACACCTTAAGTCCCACCCTGAAGCCCAAGTCTCTTAACGCTCTGAAGCTTACATATAACCTGGGTTTCGAAATTTTCCCCTTATTTGTGGTCCGAAGGGAGCCTTCAAGGAAGCCTTAAAGCCTAACCGGGACCGGGCCTAACCCCTAAACCCTGAGCCGGAAACACTTAAAGAAAGCCAGCCACCTTGCCAGGAGAGGCTGCTGCTGGTGACTGGGCGAACGCCTGCCCACGGCTTTGGGATTTGAGGGCTTCGGGCTTCGAGTCTGGAGGCTCAAGGTTAGGGATGTAGGTTTCGAAGGTAAGAAAACCGCAAGCTGTAGATGCATGCAGGGCTGTGTAGATACTGCGTGCCTGCGTGCATGGATCGGACGGAGGATACTATTGAATGCAGTTATGCATGAATGCATGAGTGCAAGCATCACGGTGCAGGCTGGTGTCCCACGTGTGTCTAGCTACCGGCTTCCTTACTCAGTTGTCTGTATTCAATGTTAGCCGCTCCTAGAGATGTCAATTCGATGGCGAATC